ATTGTTACTGGTGAGAGCAGCTGTTCTACTGAGTTTCTAACTCTAAGTTTACCAAAAGAGTATTGAAGGAAAGAATTCTTAAGAATAATGTAGTCATTCATTTTGTCATATTAAACTCTTTTGAGTATAAAGCAATGACTTATAAAATACAGCTGGTAGCAGAATACAAGTCAGAAAGTTAAAGAATGAGGGCAATTCTGTATGTCACTGCTTGTTTGACAATAGAGGGGAACACTTGGAAAAAACCTGAGAGTGGTCTCTAGGAGCTGAGGGTAAGCCCTGGCCAATGGCCAGTAAAAATGAGAAAGTCAGTCCTACAATCACAAGGAACAGAATTCTATCAATAACCTAAGTGACAAAAAAAAAAAAATAATAATAACCTAAGTGACCTTGGAAACAGTTTCTCCCCCAGAGCCTCCAGATAAGAGCCTAGCCCTGCCTATACCTTGATTTTGGCCTCATAAGACCCTAAGTGGAAAACCCAGTCAAACCTGCTGGATATCTGACCCATGGAACTGTGAGCCAATAAATGAGTGTTGTTTTGTATGGCTAAGTTTGTAATACACAGAAATTGAAAACTAACAGGCCTATCACAAGACAAACAAAAATTTCATTCTGTTCACTATCTTGTTTTGCCTAATGCAGAAAATCACATCACTATACATATCAGATGCTTAAGCAGGAACCATTCTTTCCTCTGCCTTAGTCTTCTTTCTAGCTCCCAAGCCTAATTCATCATTAAATCTTGTTGACAGTATACTTCTGAACTATCTCTCAAATATGTTTTCTTTCCTCTATTCCACCTTCTACTACCTAAGTCCCAGCCACCATTATTTCTTGGCTGAAACATTACAATAATCCTTTTGGTCTCCCAGACTATTTTCACTTTCACTCTGGTCCTTCTCAAATTCCTTCTCCATTTCATATGCAGGGGATCTTAGAGATGAAAAATGTGATTCTATTGTTCCCTTGCTATTAAAAATCGCGTTTGTGCACGTGTACGTGTGTGTGTGTGTGTGTGTGTGTGTGTGTGTGTGTGTGTATTTCAAAGCCTAGATAAAGTAAATTTTGGCAAACCTGAAAGGCCCTTTCTTTGCCTACTGTTTCAGCCTTATTTCTTGACACTATCCCTTTGATCTCTCACCCATACTTGACACCTTTCATGCTCTCTGCGCTACTTCACCTCTAAATTTTCGAAGATTCTTCATCTCTTTCCACCCACCACCACTTAAACTAGGCTAAATTATTCTATCCCTTCAGACCTTAGGTTAAATGGGACTTCATTAAGATCTTTTCCATTCTCCAGCACCCTTTACTTTTCCTGTGCTCACATTACTACTACCCTTGTAATCATGTCTTTATTTGTAGTATTTTCCCTTCTAGAGTGTAAGCTCTATGGAAGTGGGGCCTTTGGCTGCCTTATTTACTGCTGTATCTTCAGCACTTGGTATGTCTTACAATGGTCACTTAACTGGTGTTTGTTGAATAAATAAATCAACCTCTGGATATGCTCTGTTAGGATGAAGAGTTTCAATAAAACCACAGGTTAAACCAATACCAGTGTCCATGTTAGTGGAAAGACGAAAAAGAAGAGGGGAAAAGTAAAGAAACCCAGATATTTTATATGTGACTATGATCTTGAAATGCACACTGAAAAAATGATTTGGGGGAATACAAATTGTTAGCAAATAATATGACAAAATAACTGCAGTTCTATTATTTTTATAGTTGGATAGCTATTGTAAAGTGCTCAGGGCATATTTTAAAAGATTAAAGAAATTCAACTGCTATCATGCTAGAGAAGTTTCACTCAATTCTTGGCTAAAAACTAGCCAACTCCCTTATTTTAATTAATGCACTACAATTTAAATATTATTTGTAGTTAGCACATAGCATAAATGAAACCCTTAAAGTATTAAAATGCCACTTGTAGACAAGTGGGAGATAATAGCGTATTTTAAGGTCAGCTTTCTTCCCTAGAATTCTTTCTCCTCATGAGAAGAAAAAGGCTAAAAATCTCCTTTAAAAATAACTCTTTAACAGTTCCATCTATCTTTTATACTTATAACACATGAAAAATATTCAGTTAAAAACACTTCATGTTAAATTGATAGGTAATAGAAAATTAGTTGGCAATGTATCCCATGTGCAATTTAACTTAAAATTTCTTGTTTTGGTAAAAAGCAAATGCTGGTACAGTTTACAAATTATACAAGCCATATGTCTGAAGTTAGGTTTTGTCTGTTGAATACTTATTCGGATAGCCCTTTTTCTTTCCTTTATCCCATTTTCACTCTGAAACAAAGAGGCAGAATTACTGTAGTATCTAGGTTTATATACAGTGTTAAGCTGTTTTTGAAATCCTCACCCTGTTTGCTGAATTTTAAATTTAAAAAAGAAAAAGAATAAGTAATCCAATTCAAGCTGTAAAAATATGTTACTTTTCTGACATATACATACATAATTCCAGTCACTGGGAGGTATTATATATAGTATGCTCCATTACTATTATATTGATCTATAAATAAATATTCATTCCTTCCTTCTAAAGCACCATACATCTCTTTAAATATCTAGATATTCTCTTTTTTTTTTTTTAAATCTTTATTGTTCAGATTATTACATTTGTTCCTCTTTTTCCCCCCCATAACTCCCGTCCTTCCAGCTCCCACCCCACCCTCCACCCTCACTCCCCACCCACTGAGTTCATCCATAGGTGCATGATTTTTGTCCAGTCACTTCCCGCATCTCCCACACCCCTTTTCCCCCAAGAATAGTCAGTCCATTCCCTTTCTATGTTCCTGATTCATTATAGTCACCAGTTCATTCTGTACATCAGGTTATTTATTCACTTGATTCTTAGATTCATTTGTTGATAGATGCATATTTGTTGTTCATAATTTGTATCTTTACCTTTTTCTTCTTCTTCCTCTTCTTAAAGGATACCTTTCAGCATTTCATATAATACTGGTTTGGCGGTGATGAACTCCTTTAGTTTTTCCTTATCTGTGAAGCTCTTTATCTGACCTTCAATTCTGAATGATAGCTTTGCTGGATAAAGTAATCTTGGTTGTAGGTTCTTGGTATTCAGCACTTTGAATATTTCTTGCCATTCCCTTCTGGCCTGCAAAGTTTCTGTTGAGAAAGCTGACAGTCGTATGGGTATTCCCTTGTAGGTAATTGAGCCTCTTTCTCTTGCTGCTTTTAAGATTTTCTCTTTGTCTTTTGCTCTTGGCATTTTAATGATGATGTGTCTTGGTGTGGTCCTCTTTGGATTCCTTTTGTTTGGGGTTCTCTGCGCTTCTTGGACCTGTAAGTCCATTTCTTTCTCCAGGTGGGGGAAGTTTTCTGCCATTATTTCTTGAAATAGGTTTTCAATATCTTGCTGTCTCTCATCTTCTGGCACTCCAATGACTCTGATATTAGTCCGCTTATAGCTGTCCCAGAGGCTCCTTACACTATCTTCACACTTTTGGATTCTTTTTTCATTTTGCTTTTCCAATTGGGTGTTTTTTGTCGAATCTTTGGTTTGATTCTTGTGCTCCTCTGGTCTGCTATTGGGTATAATATTCTTTATTTCAGTCCGTGTATGCTTACTTTCTAATTTCTTTATCGTAGCATCGAGGGTCTCATTAGTTTTCGTGAGGCTCTGCACAAATTTATGGCAAGCCCTCAAAATTGCGATTCTTAACTCCATATCCTCCATTTCTGTCATGTTTTTTTGTCTCCGCATCTTTTATGCTTTCTTGGTGCACCCCCTTGTGGTCTCTGTGCGCAGTCTTGTTCTAGCCAAGCCTTAATTGTTGTAGTTAACACTAGAGGGATTTGACCACCAGGCCGACTGGCTGTGGAAATCAGCTGTGGGAAAACTTCAGTCCTCTGGGGAGGCGCTAGTCCAGCCCTTGCCTGAGGCGATCGGCAAATGG